AGTTTGAATTCTGTGTAGTTCAATGTTCTGCCTTCTCAGGTGTCATATAACACACTTCTCAACCCTTTGTAGTTCTGTAACTTGTTAGTAACTTTATTTATTTATTTTAAATTATTTTTTATTTAGGTTAGAAACAATCTTGTTTCACATGTCAATCCCAGCTCCCTCTCCCTCCCCTCCTCCCGGGCCCCCCCGTCCTCCCCACCAGGTCTCCCAGTCCCCCACCCAATCTCCACTCCGATCCCTGTTAAGAGAAGCTTTTTCTTTGCTAGCCGCTTTGGTTTATCTCCCGCCAGTTGCCTGGGCTCTGCCGCTTTGTAGTCCCCAAATAAACACACAAGACGCTGTATTAATTATGAAGCTGTTGGCCTTGCTTGTTTCTTCCTGGCTAGCTCTGCTTTAAGCAATTACCCCATAATTGTTAATCTAAGTATGTTTCTTACCGGAGAGGTTTCCGGGCTTCCTACCCCAATGGCGTTACATCTCGACTCTCTTGTCTTTCTCTTTCCCAGAATCCTCCTGGACTCCTAGTCCCTCCTATCTTGGTTCCCTATAGGCTCAACAGTACTTTATTGACAAATGCACAGGACTTCCCCCAACAGATCCCCAAGGAGGGTGAGGCACTCCGTGGTGGATCTCCAGTAACTTTAAAATTTGGTTAGAGTGAAGCTTGGTTACTTGGGCAAGATTTTTACTTAGGAAACTAAACAAATTTTTAGATGTATCTTACCTTTGTGTAGAACTCTTAATTTATTATGACATTAAAATGTTATTTAAAATATATTTCTCAATATGAGGATTATTGCAGATGTCAATGCCACCCAAAACAATCAAAAGGCATATTGTATTTGCTGGTATTCAGAATCTGTACTGGCCTGTCCTTGGGGTTCTGACAGTATATACCCTCAGCTGCAGTCACTAACAGCATTACCTGTGCACATACACTACTTTCACTTTTAAAAGGGCCCTGCCTACCTCCCAATTGTCTCTCTGTCTTTCTTTTTCTCCCTCTCTCTGTCCCCCCCTCCTTTTCTCGCTCCTCTCTCCTGTGGTTCCTGTCTCTGGAAGCCGGTCTCTATCTTCCCCTTTCCCTCTTTATGATCCCTTTTCCTAATTAAACAGAACAAAACAAAACAAAACTCTCTGATTGAACCTGTCTTTCTCTCACCTGCCGCTTTTCTTAAATTTCTACAGTATTGACTACAATGTGGAGTTCTAATTGACTTTTTATTAAAATAATATTGATTGCCCTCTTTCATTTCTTGCAAGGGTTGCTCTTGGGGCTCAAGACAGAGTGGTATAACTTGTCAGTTGACTTGCACAAAGGTTTGGCTTGCAATGTTGGTGTAAACAAGCCTGGGGCTCTGTGATATTGATGAGGTTATTTAGCAGTTCCTTCCTGGGAGACATGACACACATACACATCTACTCACCCCAGAAAGGAATCTCATGATGGACCAAATTTGGTGAACCAATACGATTTTATTGAGGCAGCTAACAGAAGTGTGGATGAGGGGTCAGTTAGAGGAACAGGAATGACTCAAAGAAAGCTACATCACCCCAAAGAACACCCCAGCAACCCCAAACCAGTGACAACTCATAGAAGCACTAGTTCTGGCGCTGCTCCAGTACTGGTTCCTGCCTTTACAGCCCTAGACAGGTTTATCCAGAAATCTTGCAATGTTTTTGCTTTCCCGATCACGTAACACTTGTTTTACCTCTTGTGTTTCCCCCTCACTCCTGCTGTACCTCATTGGGTGATGGGAAGAGCTTCCCAAACCACAGACTGACTGACAGGCTTGTGGGGGGTATGGATGGTGAAAGTCAGTGGCTAGGGATTGTGAGGTGAGCATGAAGTATGAGTACACCAGCAGTGATTGCTTCTCCAGAGGTGGAGTGATACTTGGAAATGTAGATAAAGCGCAGAACTAATTTTTTTACAAATGGTCTATAATCATGACAGAAAAGTCACTTGTGAAGTTGAATATATCAATAAAACATTACACAGACAATAGTATTTTATATTCATTTAAGAAACTGGTACATGACAGAATTATAAGTATGAAATCAATTGGTTTCTATTTTTTTTATTTTGGGATTCAATTAAAATCAGACCTTTACTGCCCGTGAACTATGGCAGTTTTGTCTCCGGTTTAAATGGATTGACCTTTGAATTTGCACTGTGTCAGGGTGGCATACCCTCTTCTTTATGTCAGGTCTTATAGATTGTTATTTTTAGTGTCACTTTGGACACTCTTCCACTTGGATGAGCACAGCAGCCACAAGCAACCTATATGTGGGGCATGGTTTTCATTTCAGACAAAAAAGTTAGCTCTGTTAGAATGAACCTTGACCGGGGTGGGGTGGGGGTACAGGAGAAGCTTCTCTATGCTTCTAGACAGCTATACTGATTTTTGTTGTTGTTTGAGTCTACAGGCAAGTGGGTCTGGGTCCTTATGTGGAGCCTGAACTGGAACCTGTCTGTCCCTAGAGTTCCCTCCATCCCTTAGTCCTGCTATTCTTGGGTAGAGGTTTTTCTCCAGTGTTTCATGGATTTGTCCTTCATATAAATGCAGATAATTTCCCTAAGCAGAACCTAGGACTCTGTGCCTGAATTGACAAGGATATGGAGCTGCTCCTGAGGGGAGGGCAGGGTGAGAACAGCCTAAAGAAAGCTTCTGAGGTGGGAGTAGAGACAGAAATACTGAAGAAAATGAGCTGTGATTGTGACACTAACACCTGTAGCCAGGGATTTTACCTTCCTGCTCCTGAAGGCCCACGACCACTTGCATATGAACAGCAGTTGTTTTCTTATTTATTTATTTAATTTAGAGATGATCTTATTTTATATATCAATCCCAGTTCCCTCTCTTTTCCATCCTCCCACCGACCCCTCTCCATCCCACACCCCATCCACTCCCCAGGGAGGGTGAGGCCTTATATAGGGAATTATCAAAGTCTGTCATATGATTTAAGGGAGGGCCTAGGCTCTTCTCCATGTGTCTGGGCTGAGAGAGTATTCCTCCATGGGGGATGAGCTCCCAAAGTCGATTTGTGCACTAGGGATAAATACTGGTTCCACTGTTAGGGGTCCCATAGACTGCCCAGGCCTCCAAACTGGCACCCACATTCAGAGGGCTTGGCTTGGTCCATGCTGGTTCCCCAGCTTTATGACTGGGGTCCCTGTGCTCTCACTTGGTCAGGTCAGCTGTTTCTGTGGGTTTCTCCAGCATGGTCTTGACCCCTTTGCTCATCCTTCCTCCCTCTCTACAACTGGATTCCAGAAGTTCTGCTCAGTGGTGAGCTGTGGGTATCTGCTTCTGCTTTATTCAGCTACTAGATGAAGGCTGTCGGATGGCATTTAAGATAGTTGTCAGTCTCATTGTAGGGGAAGGGCATTTAAGGTAGGCTCTCCACTATTGCTTAAATTCTTAGTTGGGGTCAGACTGTTAGTGTCTGATTTAGTGTTTTCCTTCTGTTTCCCATCACTTTTCTAGTAACTTCCTCCATCTTAATCTTAACTTCGCCTTCTCTAAGCTTTGATTTTCTTACTACATTTTTTTCTCCTTTTCATTTTTTCCTTCTGTTGTGTTAGGTTATAGCTCAGAGATGAAACATTTTCTGTATGCCTCTTATGTGGGCAAAGTGTTACTTCTGCTGAATGTTACTTCAGCCACACACTGAAATACTAGACAGCTGTGGCTTTTCTATATGCAAAAGTTTTCATGCCATGAGCCACTTGTTGCAGCTGGTTTCTGGTGTCAGTAGATTTAAGGTATTAATCTAATAGGAACAGTGAATCATACTGTACTTTAGAACTGTACTCTTTTTCAAATGTGCATTTTTCTTATTTTCCATTGCCTTCCCTCCTTCTCTTGCTCTTACCATTGAATGATTTTTGTTTTATAAGCCCAAGTACTTGTTCCTTGCCACCTCTGAACATAGCTGATACAGATACATAGATGCTCATAGATGCTCTTTTTTTCCATCCCACCTGCCCGTAAGCTCTGTGACATCATTGCTGCTCAGACTTCTCTTTTTGGCTAACAAATCAGAGTTTTTGGTCTGTGGCAGGAAAGACTTTGGATGAATGATGCTGATACTTCACTTGTTTCAGCTATCCTGATCTTAGAGATAAATATTTTGAGTTTTAATGTTAACATTAAGTTCACAAACTTCTGGTTCTCACAAAACATGGATGACCCCTAAAGAACATTTGTTCATGTGGGTTATGTCTATCAGGTTCACAGTATTAGAGCTTAACACTGAATATAATTTTAAACACAGGAGTCTTTCGATACTCACTACACAAGGTATCTGAGCCTCTGACAGTATGTGTTTTACATTAGTGAGAAATCAGGAGTGGAGAAGGTTAATTACATTTTCCTATTGCTGTGAAGATAAACCGAACCTTACAAACCTCCAAAAGGCGCATAAAGGTGGCAAGAACATACTAAAACAGACAATCGTTGAAATGTTTGATGATGCTTACTTATGCTGTGAACTCCAGAAATGGTGGGTTGAGTGTAGGAATTTGGGAGAATATTTTTGGCACCAGAAGTTTATTCTACTTGTGAGCTTTCACCTAGGCACTAGATACTACCGTACAACTGAATGTAGTTAATGAAAAATGATGTAGTATTCTTTCATGGACATTAAAGCCTTGGTCTATTGTCCTATATGATAATCTGGAAATTGGAGTTACTGGTTCAGTTTTGTTAATTTAAACCATGATACGATTACTGTCAAAAACGTACCAAGGTTTTTGGTTATATTTCTCATTGTCTGGTTAATCAACCAACATTCAAAGGAAATGTGTCAAGCACTGTATCCCTTTTCCATCTACAAGTCCTTAATGAAAAATCCATTCTCTTACAAAAATGCAAAGTGAAGATAACATCAGCAGTCGCTTCAGTGTGCGTTCCTGGGTAGCTTTCCTCTCTGGGAGTGAACATCTGACCACCAGCCTAAGCCTCTGCTTCTTTTTTTTTTTTTTTCAGATAGTTTTGAGATAGCTGCATCCTCAAATGGCTACTTGTCTGCAGAACCTGGACAAAATGTCACACTCAATTGCCAGCTACCAAGGAACTGGCCAGTGCAACAAGTCATGTGGGAAAAAGTCCAGCCCCATCAGGTAGACATCTTAGCTTCCTGTAACCTCTCTCAAGGGACAAGATACACATCAAAGTACCTAAGAACAACATGGAGCAAGTGCAGCCAGGAGAGCCTGCAGAGTGTCATCATCCCCAATGCCATGGCCACCGACTCTGGACTTTACAGATGCCAGTCTGAGGCTAGCACAGGAGAAAAGGAAACCTTTGTTGTAAGGCTGATCATAACTGATGGTGAGTGACAAGGGATGTTCCAAGTGTCAAAAACAGAAAAAAAAAACCCCAGCAACAAACAAAACAATTGTTTTTACCAGTAATAGAAACTTTGTTTCAATTTATTGTCCCTCTTCTTTTTATCCTTCACTTCCCCCTTCTGTCTTTTTTCCTCTCTGCTCTTTACTTCCTCCCTCCATTTTTCTCTCTCTATTGTTTCCTTCTTTTTCTTCCTCCTGCCCCTACCCTTCCTCTCTCCATCAATTCTTTCCTTCTCAACTGCTTTTTCTATCTTTTGCCTCTTATTTCCATTCTTCTACCTGTCCCTCGTTTCCCTCCTTAGACCTTCCCTGGTTTTCTACCCATCCTACTAGATCATCCTACTAGATCATCCCTTCTCTTGCCCCTTTATCTTCTCTTCCCTTCCCTCCTGTTCCCTCTCTTCCTTTCTCTTTCTCCCTCTCCCTCTCCTTCCTCCCCTCACTCCTTTATTGCCCTCTCCTTTACAGTGGTTAACTATCTATAGGCAAGTCTTTCATTCTGCAACTGACCCTCACTGTTTCTTCTCATGTTGCAAACTGGTCTTTCCTTCGGCGATGGAATGAATAAGGGAAGAGTCTATGTAACAGCAGCCTCTGTCCCTGCTGCCATTGCAGCTATGTATAAAGAGGATGGTAGTTACTGGAGAACAGCAGGTTTTCAAGTTAGGTGTGGTCATGAGCTGAAGGACAGACAGGCATTGGATTTTTAAACAACATCAAAGAATGGTTGGTTGAAAGAATATTTGATGTGTATGTGTGGGCATGTGTGTGTGTGTGGGGGGGGTGGAATTAACAGAATGCTTTGTCTTACATTGACTATTCCTGTAGGCACAGTCAGGAAATACTGCTTACCTAAAAAAAAAAAAAAAAAAAAAAAAAGTCTTACATCATGGAAGTTATTTTGGATCTGAACAGAAAAAAAGAGAGCAAAATGGATGCTAATCTTTTGTTTAAGAAAAAAAAAACAGGGCAAGAAAATATCCTAAGCAGAGCTGTCATAGAGCCATTTTCAAACATATATGAAATAAAATCTTAATTAGTAAATGCTGAGGTCATAGAGCAAATGAGGGGAATGGGTTTTAGGAGGTGTTGTTGTTTAACTTTTGCAAATTAGTGAAAATGCCTTCATATGCCCACCATATTTTTACAAAACTATTTCTCTGTACATAATTATTATAAACAATGTCAAACATCTTCCATCAGATGGAAGTGACAGTATAATAGCAGGTATTGTGAGTGTCTGCAAGACTTGAACAGATGCAAAATAGTTTTTGACATCTAGTTGGCAGATTAAAAGAATAATAATTGGATTTTATATCCATTAGCAAAAATTATAATTGATGGAAGATGACAACCATTGGTTTTATGTTTTGACTTAATTCTTTTTTTCAATTGTTGTTAAGTAAAGATAAAATCTAAAGCTACCAGACAGCAAGCAAAGAGGATGATTTGTGTTTCCTCTGGTGTGATTTTATTATCTCAAGTCCTGAGGCTATTTGGTCAAAAATCAATGTAGAGATTAAAGCAGAGAGACAGGTATAAGGTGTGAGGCAGATTTAATTCATCTCAGCTGTCAGGGTAAAGGTGATTTTGACACATGTTTTATAAACTGCTATATATCCTTCTCTTAGCTCCTATCCATTTCTTTTACAGGACATGATAATGCATGCATCCAAGTGAGTTTTCTTAAAATTCACTCACACACACACACACACACACACACACACACCCTTACGAGTTTTCCTAGGTCACCCAAGAGATTTTAACCAACAGTTGTCTAATCACACACACACACAATATATATTTTAAATAAAGGATGGAGATGGCAGAAACATGAATTATTTGCCATTGAATTTCTTTGCAAAAAAAAATGAAGCTTTTTGTTGTTTATGTGTACTGCTGACTTTGGAAGCAGTGAGAAACAGTTACAGATTATAATAACTGATTTTGAACCTCAACCATAGAGGCCAGTGATAGGATGAAAAATGTGCTTATAGCCAAGACCTACCATAATTTTTGTTGTTTAATATCCTTCAAATTTTAATTAGTCAAAGGAAATTAGTCACATCTCAGATCCCAAGGGGGAAAATTGTGAAGTCCTTTATGTCAATGAAATGAGGTATAGAATATTATTATTTAAACTGAATTTGCTAACATAAAATGAATGACAATAAAATAAATGACATCAACTCGTTCAGAAAATAGAGAGACAAAATGGGAAGGAACTGTTCGATGCTGGTTGAGGAACTTGATATAGTTCTCCAATCGTCTTTAATGAAGCTGCTTGACTGAACCAAGTTTCATAGTAGGAAATATTGATAACTAGAGCTGAGGAATGAGGGCAAAATAAGTCAGGGAGGGCAAAGTGAAATTTGTACCTGATTGTGGAGGAATGTATGTGGAAGATTATAATCAGATGACTAAATTGGTTCAGACAGTCTGAGCCATGAGTTAGTAAAGAGTGAGGCAGGTTAAATGAGTGGAACATTGACATGATTATGGATCTTCTGTCATAGTCAAGGAAAGTTACTATTGGCTCCCAAGCAAGGATGGTAAAATACTATTCCAGGAAATCAAGTTTGTTGATAATTTTCTGTGTGTAAGTCTTTCAACTCTGCTTACAATTATTCCCATCTTTAATTCAATTCTTCCTTTTCTCTTATGAATGAGATTACTTTCTTAATTGTGTTTTTTATATCATGCTGTATAGAGAAACACGGATGATCTTTTTTTGTATAGATTTTATACATAGCAACTTAAAAAAAAAAACATTGATTAATCCTAGCAACTGAGGTGCTTTTGTGTGTGTAGCTAAGCAGTCTTTAGGGTTTTATGTATGTGTGATAATGTCATATGCGAACATTTGTTTTTTTCCTTTCCTATCTGTATATCTCACATCTACCTGCTACGGTGAGGGCTCCTAGGATTATCTTGATTGCAGTGGTGAGAGTGGCATATTTGCTTTGTTCTTGATTTTTTTAGTCTTTTTTTTACTTTTAAATATAAATTAGATACAAGGTTGCTTCACATGTCAATCCCAGCTCCCTCTCCCTCCAGGCTCACACCACACCTTCCCACCAAACCTCCCTCCCCCAATCCCTACTCATTTCCCCAGGGAGGGTGAGGCCCTCCATGGGGGTATCCATAGTCTGTCATTTCATCCAGGGCAGGGCCTAGGCCCTCTCCCAAGAGTCCAGGCAGAGATAGCATCTCTCATTGTGGGATGGGCACCCGAAGTCCATTTGTATGTCAGGGATAAATATTGATCTGAAACCCAAAGCCCCATAGATTGCCTAGGCCTCCTCACTTGATCTTAAATGAAAAGTTTTCATTTGTTTACTGTTGAATCTGATGTTAGCTATGGCTTTTCATAAATAACCTGTATTATTGAGAGGGTCATATATGCCCTTTATTGCTAGAAGGTCTTTGTAAAATGTGAAAGATGTTAATTTACAACAAATGCCTTTTCTATTTTTATTGATATGTTCATGTAGTCTTTTATATATAATTTTTATGATAATGTGGTATATTGATTGGTTTTCATGCACAGAAATATTCTTACATCCCATTTGATTTTGATATATAATCCTTTTTATGTTCTATATTAATTATATAATTAAAATTATTAAGCTTTGTGCAGTGGCAGTATCATAGCCGATGAGATTTATCTGAGGTGTGATTATTGCTAATTGAAAATTGCTAGTATTTTGCTGCAGTGTTTCATTTATCTCCATCTTTATTAGAAACGTTGGCTTATAATCATCTTCCTTTGAGGCTTGCTTGTTTGTGTCAGAGCAATGCTTTTCTCATGAGTTTGTAAGTATTTCTTACACATTCAGAGAATTTAAGAAGGGTTGGTATTCATCCTACTTTGGATGTTTAATTTAATTTTTCTGTGAAACCTTCTTTTGGATTAGTGATGGGTTACATGTCCCAAGTGAACATAAATGTGGTCTAGACAAACAGAGAGGGATACAATACTGAAGACTCTCAGCTTCTGTCTGGGGTCCCTTTGGCATAGTCCCATGTTCTATCCTACTTTCTTCTTTCCCTAGCTGTCATCCTTCATCATTTACGTCCCTTCCCATAGAGTCTAGTCAGCACTCTCTGTCTTTATGCTCTGTTTACATTAACCCAACATCACTTCATGTATTTGGACCTTGTATATTTACTGTCTCAAACTTTCATAACTTAAAAATACTACAATTAGCCGGGCGGTGGTGGCGCACGCCTTTAATCCCAGCACTCGGGAGGCAGAGACAGGGGGATCGCTGTGAGTTCGAGGCCGGGCTGGACCGACAGCCTCCAAAACAATACAGAGAAACCCTGTCTCGTAAAAACCAAAAAAAAAAAAAAAAAATACTACAATTAAGTGATGTAGTAACTTCACTTGTTTTCATGGTCCAGATTCTTAACATATAATCTTGCCATCTTTGGTTGTATTTGTCACTAAAATGGAAAGAAATCAATTCCACTGAAAGCTTGTTAGCATATTAAGTACATATATTTAATTATGTATTCCTTTATTCCTAAAGTAATATTTTATAAAAATTAATATTTTTATCACTAATTATTGAATATCCATATGTAGCAAAAAGGGAAATTAAAAATATTTTAATTCACTTTATGAAATATGTATATAATAAACATATTTTAGGATAGTAGAAATGTGAAAAAAAATTTAAGCTGTGGGATACAAATAACATTTACAATAAATCCTTTGTTTACATATTGTTACATTCACTTACATATTATTACATCTATATATGAAAGTTATCAAAGTATCCTTTTAGGATATGCTCAGGAACATTTATTGAGCATGACATTTACTATATTAGTAGTTCCATCTTAGAGGGGATAATGTCCATCTAATTTTTACATTCTCTTCATAGCTTATTTCAAGACTTTCTTCATATGTCATAGTCCTCATTTGAGGACCCCAGAGGTGGAGGTGGGTGGCTAGAAAGAGGCAGTTAGTCTTTGGAAAAGGTCGAGGTCAGGGTGGTTCCTGTGGGCCAGCCCTTTTCAGGAACTTATTGCCCTGGGCATTGTATTGTTTTTAGTAAACATGTTTTTAGTAAACATTGTCTTGTAGCTGCCTACTCCCAGGCTGATGGGGAAGTGGGTCTCTGCTCAAGGTCTGGTGTCCCCACACTAGGATGGCATATAATGTAGTCTTTAATCTCATTATTGGGGAAGGGCTTTTAAGCCTCTCCACTATTGCTTAGTTTGCCAGTTGGTGTCATCCTTGTAGATCTCTGGAAATCACACTAGTGCCAGATCTCTCCTCAAACCTATAATGACTCCCTCTATTATGGTATCTCTCATCCTATTCTCCTCTGTTCTTCCCCCAACTCAGCCTTCCTGCTCTCCCATTTCCTCCTCTCACCTCCTCTTTTCCCCCTCTCTTTTTCCCAGCTCCCTCTCCCCCCATGCTCCCAATCTGCTCAGGAATTCCTGTCCCAGTCCCCTTCTTTGGGGTACCATACATATTTCTCTTGGGGTCCTCCCTTGAAAATTTAAAGGAAATGGACAATTTCCTGGATATATATCACTTACCAAAATTAAATCAAGAACAGTAAGCAATTTAAATAGACTTATAACACCTAAGGAAATAGAAGCAGTCATCAAAAGTCTCCCAACCAGAAAAAAAAAAAAAAAAAAAAAACCCGGGCCAGATGGCCTCAATGCAGAATTCTACCAGAAATTCAAAGAACAGTTCTCCTCAAAGTAATCCATTCATTAGAAGCAGAAGGTTCATTGTGAAACTTTTTCAGGACTTCAATAACCTTGACATCCAAGCCACACAAAGACACAACTAAGAAAGAGAACTACAGACCAATATCCTTCATGCAAAAATACTCAATAGAATATTGGCAAATCAAATCCAAGAACACAGCAGAAAAATCATCCATAATGATCAAGTAGGTTTCATCCCAGGGATGCAGGGATGGTTCAACACATAAAACTCCATCAATGTAATCCACCATATAAGCAAGCAGAAAAACAAAAATCACATGATCATTTCACTAGATGATGCCTTTTTAAAACACAAATACAGCCTAATGCCTAATCTGTAGGATTAGAGAATGAATAGTGTGAAGGTAGATCATAGGAGTATTTACCAGGAAATCACAGCACCACAGTGCCCACTCCCCCTACCCAAAATGCTATTTGTGGGTTGTATTAGCAAGACTCATGGTTGACAGGTAGTAAGAGTAGAGTGTCAACAATTGTTAAGATCCCTCATCCATTCTTGGCAAAGCTTCTTGACTTTGACTCCCTTTGTTTTTGACAGTAGGGAAGGAGGTGTGTGTGTGTGTGTGTGTGTGTGTGTGTTCATACCCATGTTCACATATGTGCATAAATGCCTGTCTAATTCAGTTCCTTATGCTTGCAAAACAAATGCTTTACCAAGCATTCCAGTTCCAAAGAAAGGTGACTTAATTTTACTTATTTATTTGCTTTTAAGTTTCTTGATTTATTTATCAATTTTTATGTGTTTATTTGTATTCTAGAGGAGTTCCAGGTAATTAATAATTGTTTTGTGCTTTCAATTTTTATTCACTTACAACCTTCTTTCTCACTTAATGGGGTTTTTTTGAGGACCAGCCTCAATGTCCCCTCAGGGTTCAGATGGGATGCTTCAGCAAGTGGTGGACTTAGAAAAACCTGAGGGTGAATGAATTCTCTACTATGTACTTTTCCATATCAGTTTCTTTATTGTTCTGCTATTATTCTAATTCTTCTCTCCTACTTCTAATTCCTCTCCAGCTTCTCCTCTTCTATTCTAAAAGCTCTTCTCCTTCAGGAGCTTTGAAATGATAAAGAAATTACGAGAGTTGTTTCTCATTGGGCAAGAGCACATTCCTAGGGCAAGTGATAAGGAGTTGAGCCATTGTCATGGCAACACAAGGGTCCAAGGTTACAGAAATGAGACTGTGACCAGTGGGTGGGGAGGACACAGTGAGATAAGATTTGAGACACAGGTCTTTTGTTAACAGACCAAAAAGTGAAGAGTTGGCATGCTTTCCTTAGTAACCTTAGTTGGACTACTGTGGCTCTGCCCTTGTACACATCCGAAAGGTTTTAAACTTATGATCTATTTACAAAAATCCTTTATTTTAGTTTGAACTTGCTCTGAGGTGAAAGTGAGCTAATTGTGTGCAGTTAGTCAGAGCAAAAGAACAAGACAGACTGTTAAGTGCCCACAGTCCTTGTGGGACAAGTAGACGTAGCTATGAAGCATGTCCCAGTATGTATTCAGCTGGTCAGGCCTGTATTAGTCCTAGCTGCAAGAGCCATCTATTCAGGACTAATGTCTGTAGGGCCAAACAGCCCTGGGCCCGACCCTGAGTGGGGGAGTGTGGATCAGGGAAGTCCCAGCTACCCCATAGTGTTAAGAACCAGACAGATACATCTTGTCATTTCAGGTGGGCTCTCAGTCAATACTGGAGATCACGGTTTATTCAAGCATTCTCTTAAGTAGCTTTCCAAAAGCATGGAGGAGCGGGTACTGGCAGAAGACATCTATTATCATGTATATAGGGCTGACTAGGAAACACTTCCTTTAACCCCAGAGACGTTCTTAGAACACAAGTACACAAGCCCTCAGACATTCCATAAGGGCACCAGTCTTCAGACACATCCCACTAGTCCCCTGGCACATCCCACTAGCCCTCATGATGGGTGTGGGGCCTAGGTCTATTGTTTCACAAACTAGAAGCCATTCTCCACTGTGGCCAGGCCATCCAGAGGTAACTAGCCGACATCTAAAAGACAATAGGAGATTCGAGCTCCTGGAATTGAGCTGAGGCCTATATCCAAAATACCATATTCAGGCCTCCGACAGTATTCTATATATCACAATTATACAGGCGAATGAAAAGTCATATATTCCTGACTAATCACAGATATATATGCCCAGTAGATGGAATACTTTCACGAGATAAACACACAAGCAGTAGGAAAATACCTAAGGTTATTTTTAGGGAAGAAATGAAGTTCTTAGGGAAGAAATGAAGTGACTCATAAGAGAAATTACAGAGAGGAGCAACTTGTTTCCCCAGCCAGTAATTCCATGGCCTAACCAGGTGGGGCTCCCTGTCACAGAATCACCCATCTGGTAGGTCGGCCTGGTGAACACTGGTTATGACCAGCTGTATCTCTCTCTCATGGCCCCTGACATCCACTCCCATGGATGTTCTAAGCTGGTATGCACAAACCATTCTCTTTCCATGACACAGTTTGATGATCTTCAGTACAGGAATATTTTACATACATGGAAAATAATATGTTCATGACATTTCTTTTATGTGCTAGGAGTATTCCACTAAAATCCCCGAGTCCTGATGATTTCACTCACAAGTTAAAATCATTTCCCCTGAAGTAGATCAGATGTAATTTCCACCTCAATTTAATATCAGCTTAGAGTTCTGGATGACAATTTGTTACCTAGATGTAACACACAGTTACCAACACCACAAGTAAGTTGAGTATTCAGTCACTGCCTATTATGTCGTGGATCCTTCATCTCGCAGTTGCCTCTGCCCACATCAAAGATTTTTTTTTTCCTTTCAGTGAGATTACCCATTTGAAAAGCACAAGTAGTCAGTTTCTTTTGAAAGTCCTGTGTAGAGATGTATACATTTTTTCCCAAAGTACAAAGTAAGGGAATGTTTACTTGTAGTCATTTTATACATATTGTGTTTTAATGTTTGATAGAATAGTAATGTCCTGTTAATATTACATACAAAAGAAGTGTGAAAAACAGAG